TGATCCCCTAACATTTTTACATTTTTGGACTTAGGACACCTTGAAACGTCGAGAAATGCAAAAGAAGTCGGGGGAGGGTAATTCTATATGTATGAAAGTTAGTGTGTGTATGGCACGATTTTGTTCACCCTGTTTGAAGCTTTAAAACTCCTGTGCTTTTCATCGAAAATCTCTGAAATTTTACAGGGAAGTTTGTGTATTAGTGGAATTGATGGTATTAAATTTTCGTAGTTAAAGACCGACAGGATGGTAAAATAAAGGGGAGGGAGGTCGTGTGTCATATCTCGAGTACAGTCGGATTTAGTAACGGTTTTATCTGTTATTAGCATTTACAATTTTTTTTTTTTTATAAAACCTATCCCTACCATAAAAACCCTTTTTGTCATTTTATAACAATTAAAAATATAAAAAGTTTTTAAAATAAAATATCATAGCGGATGGTGCCATCAAAATTTTAAATGTTGCCGGGAAAGTTAAGCAACTCGTTGCTGGCATTTTTTTGTTTAAGATCTGATAACTAGACTGATATATTTAGTAATTTTCTGCCTAATTTAAAAACAGAAACAAAATAAAATAAAATACAGATATTTTCTTTTGCTTATGTCAACATGACACTTTTGGTTTACTTCACCAAATTGTATTCACTATCTTATGACAGTAAAAGACATTTACCTTAATTATTGTCATCTACGTCATGTAGCTTAACCAATTACAGCAATAAATTTTAATTATTACATCATTGAAGTTAGCAAATAAAGACGTATATTTATCCATAAAAACGTCACTAAGTTTCATTCAATTACAACCCATTACGTTATACGTGTATTCGAATCAATTAGTTTCATTCATTACGGTCTTGATTCAATCTTTTTCTTGGTAAAATATACGAAATACGTGAATTTTGTATTCTGCTGTTTTTTCTAAATTATTTTAGACGAAATAATAAATTAATTTACGTATGAGAAACTCCTAACTTACACGTACGCATTTTTTGTGTGCCATATTTAACTACAAATATATTTTGTATAATAATATAAAGGAAAAAAAAACGATTGTACATTTGAATATTGCGAATAACTGCAAGGCCATTAAAGACAAATAATGCCATTTCTTATCGTTTTATTGTCAATTCTGAATACAGTATTAAACTGCAATTATTACATGCAAGCAATCTTTCAAACTTGTACTGTATAAACAAGAAATTCCACTTAAAATCTGTTTCGAAACAGTGGAAAAAAAATCTATTCATACTTATATAATCGACAGATTTTTTAAAATATAAATAGATTTTCCACAGTTTCCAGTTAGATAACATTTACTATTGACATTTGTTAAAACTTATTAGAAGTTCCTATACTTAAATTATATTAAAAATAAAAATAACTGTTATTTCTTAAACGAAATTAAAAATTTTTCATTATCTTAACTCTTATCGCAGTAAAACAAAAATGTCAAAATAATCAAAATTCTAAGATAAAATGCCAGTAGAGAATTAAAATATATATATTTAGCACATTAATTGTAATGCTGATAATTCGAATTACTTAAAATATATTCAAATTTGTAATTTCTAGTTTGTGCATTTTATTTTGTATTATCTTGTACTAAATTATTATATTAATTTATTAAATATTACTAAATTAAATTATAGTTTAATCTCCTTGTAAATAAGGTTTATGCAATAAAGAATGAATTAATTTCTAGTCTTCGATGTAAGTTAAATGAAGACAAAAAATTCGCATACAAATATGGTTATTTTACTATAATTCGTAAAAATATATCGTTAAAACTGCAAACAAATACAGAATGGCAGCATAAAATCAGAGAGAGAGAGAGAAAGAGAGATGAGAACTTCACAATCTCTTCACCCCTTCCTCTCATCGGTCGATTGTGTAGTTTTGACCAGTGAAAGCAGCTCATATCAATGATGAAACAGATTCTAATTTTCAATTTTCTTCTAAAATCGCAAATTCTATGATGCGAATTACTTATGATCTTTTGCATTTAGCCTAATTAAACAATTCTGTAAATAACTTCCACCCGATCAAATAGCAGTATTTAGTAATACTACATTAATAAATGTACTAAGAAAAATCTTCGAAATCTATGAATTTCATTTTAATTACTAATCTGATATCAAATTAAGTTGAGTTGCGGTTATTCAATTCAATTTCTTTACTTGTTGGGCTGCAATTTTCAAATTGCAGATCTACAGATTCCCACTGCCTTTCCTCCGTCCTTACTTAATCTCGAGAAGGGAGATAGACAGATGGAAATCTATTTACGAAATTCCGTCTGGACCGGAAGTCACGTGAGTTTTTAAAAATTAAAATAAGATATTACAATAAGTAATTGCTCGTTACAGATAATTTCATTATAAGCATGAAAATATCTATTAAAAATTATACCTAAATCTAATTTTAATACTTTTAACAGGCCATTGTCTCCACCACAAGCAATATAACCATGTTCTTTGTTCCAAGCAATAGTTCTTATCCATATGTCATTAGGTATGGCAATCTANCATGAATAAACAGTGGCGCTTTATAGGTTCGTGGAGGCCTCCATATACAGAGTTGACTTCATACAATTTTCTCAGGGATATTTTTTGGGGGAAATATTTTCTTATAAAAAGATTGGTTTGGGCCCTCTAATTATGGGGACTCCAGACAATTGTCCTTTTTGCCCATAGGATAACGCGCCGCTGTGTATAAAATAGAATACTGAATTATAGAAAGTCTATAGCTATCTTACAATATGTGATTTCTCATGAATTTAAGGAATAAATACTCGAATATAAGCTGATAAAAGTTATTCGAAAACAAAATAAATGATAATTATTTAATTTAAGCAACTCCATGTGGATACTGACAACTTCGACAGAGTAAATGTAGAGAAGGTAACTTAATTTGATTAAACTGGAATGTTTACGCAGCATAGATATATTCTACAATAACTAGAGATGAAGCAACGTGTTAAACTAAACGAATAAAGTATAATTAACTGAATTATAAAAGTTTGCAAGAAAACAGAACAGTAGTGTTGTACTGTTATGTGACAACATTGCAAGAAAATTTTAAATTGGAAAACAGCAAGGAGCCACCAAAATATGACAGCTTTAAAAATAACAGGAAAATTCCGAGAAATTATAACAATAAACCAAAACGAAACACACAATAATAAGATAATTCCTTCAATTATGGTGGCGAAGTAACACAACTGCGCCTGGAAGCGCAAATCAATTTCGAACCCCTTGAATGTTTCATTTAATATTCTTAAATGAAAATCAGTATAAAATTATTTCTGTTTAGAGAGTCTTAATTCGAAGACTCAAGCAGGCACTTAATTTGCTTACATTTATAAAGTTATAAAACGAAAAAACATCAGGCAAAATAACAAATATCATCTCATACGATTAAATTACTGTATCTTTTGCAATTTCAGTCTAACAATTTTTCTGTCAATAAATTCAATAAATAATGTTCTGTCAAAATATATTCAGAATATATTTTAATTAAAGACATGCCATGCAAATTCAACAGCAATTTATGTTAAAAGATAATGCCAATAAGTTAATTCCACGTACAGAGAATACAGTACTAATACACTAGTTCTAAACCATTTACAAATTCTTGACGGTTGGTAGCATTTGATTTGCGAATAATTTTAAACGGACTTTATCAGATCTATCAATTTTGAATTGCAATTTAATATGGACTTAATATCAGATTAATAAATTAAACTAAATGACGTTTCATATACGATTGAATAGATTTTAAACAAAAAAAAATTCAGATAAAGCCGTGAAATACGGGGATTTTGTGGTTGATACTTCATTTCGGAATTATAAAATTAATTATGTAAAAAAAATAATACATGTACAACGTATTTACCCATTCAGTTCCTCCGTAGTATTAAGCACAGTGTGTAAAAATTCATTTATTGTATTTACTGGGCTGCAATTTTCAAATTGCAACCCCGCATTGTGATGATGTCACAATAAATAATTGCTCATTGTGATTAAAATACTGTATTATATAAAAATTAATAAACTATTTTATAAAAAAATGTTTTAAGAAATCCTACTTTTAGATATATGCTAACTGAATTCTAATAAAATGGCGCATTAAATAAAATGGCAATTTAAAAGCACATTAAAAGTATAATAAAATAATTAAGATGATCTTTACACCACTAGAAAAAAATTTCAATTAATTTAAAAGGAAAAAAATAATGTGGCCTAAACATAAGTTCCTGATTTATTTATAGGGATATTTATATTTAATAATTAAATTTTTCGCCATTAAGGACATTTTAAATAGTAAAAAGAAAAAAAAATCGCTTTTTCGTTAATTATCAGCTAAAAGTTCGCATCGCCAACTAGAACATTACGTAATTTGCTATTACAGTTGCTAGTGATAAACACCAATACAGAAAACATACTTTAAAACTCTCTAAGAATCGATAATGTCTCTCTTTCTCCCCTTATACTTTGAAAACTAAAATTTCTTTCAACAAACTATTAAGAACTCTACTAACATAAATAATTTATACACCTTTACGTGAATTTATGTTTACCTTAGATTACTTTATGCTTAATAAAATAAAATACACCGCTGCAATTAAAAAAAATTGTCATTGGATATTGTTTATTTACGCGTTGTAATGAGATAATTTTTATAATTAATCAATCTTTGACGCGTACTGTACCTTGTTGAAACGAGAGGAAAAGAACCGAATTGTTAAATCTTGCGTTAAATTTTAACAATATTTGTGTATTCTAACGGAAATCTTTTTATAATTTAAAAATTAAACAATAGTCGAACAGAAAAAAAAAAAATACTTATATCTCATTGTAAACAATGGTAAAATACATATTAGAAAACGTAAATTACACTTCAGATACTTTGAGCAAATTAAAATCTCTCCCAATTTCAAGGGATTATAAGTCAAAAGAGCCATTTATTAGTCACGATTAAATCTCATTAGAATCAGCTTACCTCGGGAACTTCAGCAGACGGTGTTGGTGTCACATCATCTCTTTCTAGAAACTGAGGTGAACGTGCTAAGGTACCACACACCGCACATCTAAACAATTCGTTGGTGGTTTGTATTCCTAGAGTCCTCGGATGTTTACTAGAGACATCCGCATCGTCACCAACGTTACTCTCGCTTCCGCTGGGTGAATCGTTACTGCTCTCGTAATCGGAAGTAATGTTAACTCTTTTAATAGAAGGAAGAGGTGGTAGAGGATGACTTGCTTCGTCTTCCGTTTCTCCAGCGCTGCTCTGTTGAGCGGCATCCTGAAGTCCGGCTAATTCACTCGGAGTCAGAGGATGAAGACTACAAACGGTCTTCCTCTCGCGAGAACTTCGACGGGAACCCCAAGCTCCAGGAAGAGATGTTGTGGAGAATGATCTACCCTTAGAAGTAATTTCTGCAGGAGTAGATTTCCTATAAAGATAAATAAGTACAGTACTTTATATCAATAATAGTATTTGTAATTTTATTATTTATACCTCATCAGAATAAGTCTGTATATCTATCTTCGTCGTCGTGTGTTGCTGTATGATACGTTCTCTCAAGCAACCTTATGATCACTCCGACGAATTAAAACGAGAACAAGAGCAGTGGAGCGTTATCCTGTGGGCAAAATGGACAATTGCCTGGGACGCCATAAACTGGGGCCACAAACCGATCTTTTATAAACTCATTACTATAGTAAGAATACTGAAATTTAAATATGGCGTCATATCGGGGACTCTAGATCGCTGATATGACGCAGGCGCAACGCAAAACTTAATCCTCCATAGGTCACGTTAAAAAAAAAAACAAAGATACAGGGGAATTCCTCCAAAAATATCTAAAGCGACAATATAATACATGGGGCCCCCTAATTCAAATTTGTCTGGGCCTCATGAAGCTATAACGCGCCACTGAATAAGAGGAAATCGAGTACAACTTTATTATTTGTATTCGAATAATCTTCATATTACGCAAATATAAAAATAAAATAAATAAATTAAAACAGTAAAAGAATATCTTCATAATTTTTAAGCTGTCATTTACGATTTAATGAAACTAATGTTTATTTATAAATTTTATCGTATTGTAATGGATTATGAAACTACTGGTTAACCACGATATATTTAAATAATTTTTGGCATTTTTAGTGTTTAGTTTTGAAGAAATAAACAACGATAATTTGCGAAGAAACCCGATAACGACACTTGATTTTTGCTCAATTGCAAGGCCTAATGAACAACGATTTATTGCCAGTAGAGTGAAATCATATTTCTCCATCCAAGTATTTTTACTTACTGACAGCTTAAGTATTTCGAAGTGTTATCATTTTTATTTTTTTTTCTATTTTAAAAGAATATTTAAACTTAACCAAAACAGTTTATATAGAGAGTAATTTTTATTCATGAATCAACACTAATATTTCAAAAAATTTAATTAAATTTTCATGTTTGTATTTAAAATGTGCCGAGATTTATATAGATATAGGCTAAAAACAGAACAGAAAAAATTCTTCATAAAAAAAAAGAGAGAAAAATTCGATGAACAATCGATTTAATGATTCTAACCAAACAAAAGAAAATCGATAAAAATAAATGTCACATACACACACACACATATATATATATAATCTTTTCTTACTTCTTAACAAAAATTTTTAAAGTGTAGGCTGTAACCAAATAGAAGTGGAAATTTTTCAAACTTCACATAAAAATTTACATAAATATTATATAAAATAGTACCGTAAATCAATGTTAACGTAGCTATAACAGAGATAACAATATAATTTTTTGTAATAGAACAGTATTAACTTTAATGGATAAAGCAATAGAAGAAAGTTTGCAGAAAGGTCTACTACATTTCCAGTTTACTCCCCTCAACGTGTCTTGAAATGTCAACTAAAAAGGAAATTCCTTAAGAAAGATTTTCTACTTCAATTGAGAGAAAGTTTTTCTAGGATAAAAAAAAGTTGGAAGAAAATTCGAGTGGAAAAATTCTAAAATCACTTGTATTTTCAGTTTAGATTCAATATAAATAAATACAAAATCTTAATTTTGATTAAAAATAATTATGTCTAACTTACTAAACTTTATGACAGTTATAAGTATTTTGTGATTTTTATAGCTTTGTTTAATGTTTAATATATATAAGCAGGCTTTGTACAAGAGTATAATTTTTAAATATGATTTTTTATGTATAGAATCTCGTGTTTTGGTTTACGACTAATATATTATTCTATACAAACATGGCTTTTCAAACTGCGCTTGAATAGAAACAAAATTTATTTCTACGGACAGAAATTTATTCACTTATTTTCCTATTTTGTTGAAGAAAATTTTTTAAGAAAACAGACTTCAATTGTAATAAATGCGAAGAACAAAACGTAAGGGTAAAGGTAAACGAAAAAAAGAAAAAAAAATTATAAATCTAAGAGTCAATTTCCAAAATTTCAATAATGCTGAGTAAGTCGTATTATTAGAAATGAAATGTTATTGATTCATTAATCCTACGGGGTATACGTCAAGAAACAGTTCCTTTTAGATTTAAATTTTGAAAAATGTTTTTGTTTATGCGCCATGCTGACTCGTTAAAGGTCAAAAGTAGATATGCAGTAGTAACTTACTTAACCACACCACGTTAATATATATATATATTTATTTATTTATTTAATTTGTTAACGGGAACGATAAGTTACTAATATTTTCGTGAAAAAATTCTCTCTTAAACGTGTACAATTTTCCTAAAGCAAATTTTAATTATAGGCCTGTAACTTGCGTATTTAACCTAATATTAAATTTAGTCACGTACTGCGGCTTCGAGACGAGTTGAAAATTAACTTTTCCAAAAGTTTATTTTTATATTTATGATTCATCGTTATTAAACTGCAACTATCTTGACAGAATATTCTAAAGTCTATAATTATTACTATACCGTAATGTTCACGTGTAGAAATTTTATATATAAAAAGGTCCAAACGAGATATGGTTACCACGTTTCGACTCAAAGGTCTACGACCTTTTATCTTTTATTTCTGATAGAGATAAGGCCCCAATATTTGACATAGCTCAATTATAATTCGTGTAATCTGAAATTAGAGAAAGTAGATTAAACGAGAAATAGTTTTGTATTGAATAAGCAAAATCATTAATTCTTTATGCAGAGAATTATGGTTAATGAGCGCAGAGAGAGTGGGTTAAAGTGGGTTATAAGTAAAAAATTAGATATATACCTAATTATATTCTTGTCAGACAATTTATATTACCGAGAGAGTTAACAGAAACATGAAGTACAGAACGCAATCATTATATACGATATTAATTTAATAGGCCATTTGAAGTCATCAGTAAACGCTGGATCATCTGCATGAATTTTATTTTTTATCTGAAATTTTTTATGCTGTGGGGCTCACATCAATAAATAGTACTGTACATTTTGTATCCAGCGATGAAGCGATGGAAATCTACAAAACTATAAAATTGAAAAATCCAGCAACAATATTTTTGAAATTCTGTGAATATTTGTTTTAATGTTACGTTTGAAACAATCCTATAAAGTAGTCTTACATCAAAAATATATTGACTCCTATTCTATAGCCTCACAAAAAATTTTTTTATGTTAGTTTTTGATGCAAAATACCCGAGAGTAAACATCGAATAGATTTATATGGAATGGTCTATAGAATTTTCAATAAAGCAATTCTTACTTTGGTGATATTATATGTCCTGATGATTGATTGTTAGTAGGACTTATATCAGAAGAATTCCGGAAACTCGTGCTTCGTTTCCTGCAAGGTTCTGGTTCGAGAGTAGGAAGACCCGTAGCTGAAGTAGTTGTTGTCCACATACTCGTAGACATTCGACGAAGTAGGCTTGGAGGTAAGTTTCTTCGAAATCTCTATAAAAAGTAGCCATATATTTCTCTATTAAATAAAGACTTCGACATAATGAAAATAATATTTAAATTTAAATTTTACCTTTGGTAAACCTGTAGGCCTTTCACCCGTAAAAGGTATCTCTTCTGCATCACAACCAGAGCTAAAATCAGATAAAGAAACACTTGTTCCGACTAGTCTAGGTCTGTGATGAGTGGAAAGATGGTTTGGAGTATTTAATAGGGAGGCAAGGGCCCTTAATCCACTAGTGACGTGGGGCGGGAGAGATGAATCGGCTAACATGTCTGTCACTAAACCATGGGCTTCGGACAACAATGCTGCATCCACAGTAGAATTCGAACTCTAAAAAAAGAAAAAAATTGGATTTTAACATTTAAATTAAGAACTAAATTTCTGTTCTATATTAATTATAGATTAATACAAAGATAATAAATTACAACGTATAGAACTTTAAACATTAAGAATTTTACTGTGCTGACTCATCTCAAATAAACTTATGGAGATTCCCTTAAATTGCATTAGACCGAAAGTTTTAAATTCTCACTGTTATAATCAATACGACAGATCAGAATATTATCTCTAACGTTAACAACTAACATTATATATCATAAACGAAAATTTGACTTCTTATCGATTATTCTACCATATTTTTGATATCAATAGAAATACATTTTAAAAAGTTATTTAAAAAATAAAATAAAAATACAAAATCGTCAATAAATCGGTTCAAAGTATCTTGTCTCATATAGTCTAGAACAGTGTTTTTCAACCTGTGGGTCGCGACCCCCAGGGGGTCGCGGGTAGAAGAAAAAGACAAGTGTTTGTAGGTCCTACACTACATTAAAAAAACTACAATTTCAGCGAGAATTATGGCCCACCCCAGAAAATGATAGCGGAAAAAGTGTTGAGCTGACTTGCAAAAGGAAATAAAAAGTAGAAGCTGAAAATTCAGATCCTAAAAAAAAAAAAAAAGGTCAACAGTTCCCTATGCCCAATGTTATAATTAAAGGAAGTTTCATACTTTGTGTGTTAAACTATTGTCGATTCTTCTGAAATTTTCATTTTAATCAACAATAATTTGTCTCAACAGAAAGAAAATTAAATACATAGTTTTTAAAATCACTGATATAGTTTTAATATGGCCCTAGGGGGGTCGCCAGAATTTTTTAACTTGCAAAGGGGTCGCGTATTCAAGAAGGTTGAAAAACACTGGTCTAGAACACTGCTAAACGTTTCAGAAAACTAAGCTCCATTAACAACAAAGAAGTCATTTCTACACAATTAGAGATCAAGCATAAAAATAAAAAAAATGCGAAGCCACTTAGTAGATCTCCGACTGTTTCCTTTTCCTTTCAAATCATTCGAAAGTTTTCAACTTCTTATCCTTTGACACGAATTTAAACTCTCAATAAATTACTATTAGATTTCACTTCGTAAATTCTTAATATAGAGATGAATTATTTATAAAACAAGATGAATAAATTAGAATATGAAAACAAATTTTCAAACAGTTATAAATTGTATCATTGTATGGATACAAATGGCGATAATGAGAATTTTTAATCATTTTAATGAATTCAAAAAATCTTTGTTAAGCTACACAATATTCAAACTATCACCAACAGAGTTTTATATGTACAATATTGTCATCTTGAATACGACTGTAAGAGGATATATGTAGATTCTCACGCACAATAATAGGGATAATTCGAGCACTTTCGTATATTGAAAAAAATAGAAATAATTCGACTTCTCGCATAGTACATTTTACGGAGTCTTTAAGTAATCCGAAATGAATCCGACCGTTTTCTTGATAAGATAATTTTATCCAAATCGATTGAGTTATCTGAGAGATGTTTGCTGCAGATCCTCACTGCTATTGGTCTTTGTGTCGAAATGCCAAAGAGCAAATCTATGACCTGGGATGATATTACTTAAAAATGTGTTAATATTGACAAATTTATTCTACATTTTTATACAAAAATGTAGAATAAATTTATGGGTACATATTTTAACAATCACCAATTAGGTGCAGAAGACTAGAGTATGACACCATTATATTACCCCTTTTTTTCTTAATGGATCTTAAGCCGCGACAATTTTAAGATAGTCGCGATGTAAACACGGGAAACGGGAACAAACATGAAACGATTTTAAACACTTTGTCAAGGAAGAAAAAGTTTAATGAAAATTTCCAGTATCAGTACTGTAAACAGCAAATCAACGCAAACAATCAAAACAGAAAAAAACATAAGAGAATCAGAAAAAAAAAACCAAAAGAAAGTAAAACGTAAACATTTCAAAGACAAAAGAAGGGCATAAATATAGTAATATTATATCTTTAAATTTTAATTCCGTTTCATTAATAATAATTTTTTTGTCTGCTTTACAAGAAAATTAAAAACAAAGAATTGAAAAATTTTTTTAAAATGTCACAGAAAATAATTATAACTACCGTTTATAAAATGTTTCTAATTAACATTTTCCTTAATTTATAATAAATTTTCCCAAATCTATTTTTAAATGATGTAAGAATAACCATCCCGCTACGAATGACGTCAATCTACCGTGGTATTATTATACATAGCGCAGAAGTAGAGATTTTATTAACAAGAAAAATAATCGATATTCAGTTTAAGTCAGGAAAATAATCCAAAATAACAACGGATTCTGACAGTTCGTGCTGGATAAGTAATATCTACCAATTACAAGCCATCTTTTCTGACGAAACCGGTCGATGATTCTCATTTACGGAACACTTCGTTGACATCGTCTTTTAGATTCTTTTTTTTCTTCAAGTAAAAATTGTATTTTAAAAATATTTTTCAAAAAAGTACACATTTTGAATAAAAGAACTTAATTTTAAGGCTTAAGCATATATCAAAAAATGTAATGTTAAAGTAAAAACAGTAAAAATTTTTAAAAAGAAAAAAAACGATGATTGGCTAGTTCAAATATTTAAATTATTAATAACCAATAAGAGTACTTTACAGTAATACATTTATTTTTTTCGTTAACCAATTATACACGATTTTGATTCGTATTTAAATTAAAATTTTTTAAATCAACCGATGGGGACATCGGAATATATTTTGATATGTTTTTAAAAAAAATCACTCATGATTAGAATAAAAATAAATTTTGAATTGAATAAAATCTAAAACCGAAGTTGTAAAACAAAATTCTGAATTAAAACGACCGATTTTTTCATTGATTTTTGTAAAATTAAATTAAATGTTTTAAATTAACAATTAGACTCAGATTTTAATTCATACCTAAATTAAAATAGCTATTAATTGCTTAATTACGCATTTTAAAAGAAGCTTGTTGGTTATTTAAATTTTATTTGCCTGAATTATTTTTGTTTAGTGTCAAGTTCCATTAACATCAGATAAAATTGAGGTTTTATTTTTTAATCAGAACTTATTTTTATTTAAAAAAACACTATTTGAAAAATATAAGTTTTGATTAGAAATAAAAGTTCAATTTTGCGATGATATCGATGGAACGTGACATCAAAACAAAAAAACATTTCAGCAAACAAAAAAATATTAGATCTATTGGTTATTTTTGTGTTTTTGTATATTAACAAGACAATTTTAATCAACCCAAAGAAACATTGACGATGTAACGGATGACGACAAAGAGACAGAAAATTGATTTATTTATTTTTTATTATAATAACTGATGTTTAAAACGAGACAAGGGCAATAATTGTAACTACTGTATTCGTCTTTAAATGGTGGTTAATTAAAATAATGTATATCATATTATTTTAATTAACCACCATTTAAAGACAAATAGTTACAATTATTACCCTTGTCCCGTTTTAAACGTATCAATTATTTTACTAAAAAAAAAAAAAATAAATTTTCTGTCTCCTTGCCGTCATCCCTTACATTGTCAATATTTTTTGGCTTTTTGTGTTCTTTGATTGTTAAAAAAAGGTTATCATCGTTGCTTGTCATCTTCAAGCCTTTTACGTTGTATAAATAGTATTTATAACACATTTTCGAACAATAACGTTGATGCTTATCAGAATAATATCCAAAATGCAGATCGGACGACGAGGAAACGTTAATAATACATTTAAAAAAAATAACTTTTTAATTTTTTATTAAAAAAGTAATAAAAAGTTGCCGGTAATCGTTAAAAACACCAACGAAACGAGCTAATTAAAATAATTAACACGAATATAATATAATTTACGATAATTCGAAAATTATTTCCGAAATAGTAATAACAAAGAGGCGCCTCTGGTGGCAAGCTTATGTGGATGACTAGAAAAAAAAATTGTACTGAATTTGTGATGAATGTAAATTATTTAAAATTATTTTAGCAGTTTGAAAAGCTTGGGTTCGGACAAATATTTATTAATGGATTTGTAATTAATGCACTTATGTCGACTGCGCATATTAATAATGTTAGAAAGAAAAGAAAATGAAAATTTAAATAATTGAAATATCAACTGCGCAACCCATTACAGTAATTCACAATCGTTTTCTTTTCGTTTTTTCCGTTTCTCTTCATCGTTGCTGTTATCATTTTCGGTTCGTTTTCCGTTTTTTTCGGTTTGTCCTTTTCCTCGAATTCACTACAGCGAATTGTGATTTAAATTTGAACCAATAAGAGCGTTAGTAACAGTATTGTATGGAATTTATTGGTCATTTTTCCGTATATTAACAAGACAATTTTAATTTAAATTTTATAAACAACCGAAGCTTACTCAGCAGAAAATAATAACTTAATCAACACCTGATCACTCGCTGAGAGATTTATTAAGAAAACAAACGTTTTCAATCCAATCAATGGATCATCCTCAGGTTATATGGAACATTTCAAAAAATAGAACAACAAATTCAAAATACAAAATATAAATATTAATAACCGTTAACATATACGCTATTAAAAAATGTTTTTAAATAATAAAATTAATACAAATGCTGCTAATACTAAAAATAAAATAAAAATAGTCAAAAATAACAAACAAATTGTGAATACTAAATATTACTACTTCTAACTTAATAGACAAACTGTTAATACTAAATATTAATATTGCTTACTTAACTATACAGAGTTTTTACTACAAATATTATTAAAGTTCCTGCTCTTATTTTAAGTTTTTAATTGCAAACCTCCAGGCGGAAGGAAGTCCCTCTGCATCTCTTGCGTTGATGCAATTTCCTTTAAATTTGCTTCTATAAATTTCTAACTTTTCAGCTGTTCTTGCCAAAGTCGGAGAGTGTATCTGTTTCAGGATTTCCGCTTCATCCAATCGTACTATTGAACCTTCCGTTTGTGCCATTTGAGCCAATACTGTGGCATTACAACCTTTTCTAGTA